GTTTTAAAAGCACATAAAAAATTAAGAATAAATTTACACCATGAAACCTATAACTTTACAACAACACTTCCCCATGCTTGTAAATACTTCCCCATGCTACTTAAAATATTGCCACACACTTTGCATTTTGCATGTAATCTTATTATTTATTTATTACTATTTTTTAAATGATAGTAGAATGTCGACTTCTAAAGCGTAAAACGTACCTAAACTTTTAACGTAACAAAGGTTTTCTAAAATAATTTATATTTCAGTAGCTTGCACCGCGAAACCTATATTTCTCAGACAAAAATATTTTCCACAAATGTCAATCTGGATAGTCTAAAGTAATGAATATTATATTGGGAAACATGCTCAAACTTTTAACATTAGTAAAGGCAAATAAAAAAAAAATTATTTTAAAAATTTGTAGTATGAATACTATAATTTAAAAATATAAATACAATCCTATGACAGTTAATAAAAAATAATTTTATTAATTTTTAGCACGAAACCCTTTGTCTGACAGAAATGCCTTAACAGGAGTATCAGTCTTCAAAATGATGTCATTCACAGTGCATTTTACCGGTAAATTCTTTTCCTTTTAAAAACTTAGGTAGAAGTCATTATTGAGGATAAAATAGTTTAACTTTCAATAATAAAGGAGACTTTTAAAAATTAAATTTTCCCAAATTTTCTATTCACAATTTATATTTTAATAAATAAATTATGTATTTATATACTAGAAGCTTAAAAATGATGTCATACACTTCAAACTTGATTTGTAGTATTTTTTTTTTTTTTTCATGGCTGTAAAATGTTCAGCTTTATAAATAATTGATGAAAAATATGCATTTGATACTAAAAAATAAATTTAACGAATTTTTTCTCTAAATATTTTTAATGAATGTCACTCTCTAAACTATGATATACACTTTCCGTTAGACATTTAATTTCTTGTAAAAACGGAGCAGAATGGCTACTTTTATGTAGGGAAATCTGGATGCTAGTAATTTCTTATATTTGCTCCACAAAACCTATAATTTTGCGATATTAGCAATTTTTTTTAGTGTTGGTATTTGAAAATTGACAAATATAGTTCGCACACCAGTAACTAAACAATGCGTGTTGTCATTGTATATTTAAATGACCAATTTAGTTTTAATTTACAATCATAGATAGCAGCACTAATAATTTTCGAACTAAAGTTAGTTCTTAATCTTCTTCATGGAGAGCAGCACTTAAAGTGCTCCAATTTTTTTCTGACTTGAGTTACTAACATTTTAACTTTTTTTTTTTCAATCTGTAAATTTGATGTTTTCTAAAAGGTTAAATAAAAGTGTTTACAAAATACCATAGACAGCATAAATAATATTTATTTGCTGTATATTGTATAAATTACATTACCTAATGTTCCCCTCTTGATCTCTAAACATTGCTAATTGTCTTTCAAAACAAATGAAGATTTTTCGTTTTGATAGTAGCCTCTGTGCTCAGACTCAGTTTTTGTGGAATTTTCATATTCTTGAAATAACAATCGGTAGCTTCTCAGTACTTTTCTTCGATTGCAAATAAACAAACAATTTTCAAGCTTAAACTTTGAAATTAATAATATGCTTTACTAATGCTGAATAAAACTTCACTTCTTTCAGATGAAAAATTAACGATAAACAGATTAGAGAAAAATAAATAAATAATTAATGCATAGTAAACAAATTAAAATATTAAAAAAATAAAATGAAACTAAAGTGAAATCAAGGTTCAATTCCTTCTCTTGTGGCACGAGAACATGAATACTATTTCTCATTTTTTTGTCATAATATATTATTTAAAACTTTATTAAATATGCATTTAATGAATGAATTAAGATGAATATTTCTGTTGTTTTTCGTTTTATTTTATTTTTGCATTTGTAGTAAAACAAGCAATAAAAAAATCGTAAGTTTTTTTGTGAGTCAGAATTTGGTTATTTTATTCGTTAATGTTTTGATTATATATATATATTATTTCTATATATATTATTTGATTAAATATATAATTAATATTCATTAAATATGAATATTAATTATATATTTGATTTCATATGAATATTCATTGAGGAATCAATTAAAAATTAGTAGACATTATTTAGTTTTTAATAAAAATAATGTTAAAATTTGATTTATGTTGGTTGCACATCAATATTTATTAGAAAATGTATAGCAATAATTTCGTAATTGTTTATCAGAGATAAGTTTCATCATAAATAACACGTTTTTAAACAAATTGTACAAAAAATATACGACTTCAATATTAAAAAAGAAATTCTTCTCGAATTTTTTGTAATTTGATTTTCGATATAGTTAGCATCATTTTATTCATTTTAAATACTATATTTTGAATATATTCAACGAAGAATAAGAGTAATCAATAGCTGAAATTTTATTATTTTAATCACTAGATGGCGGTATGAGTTGATACTTCCTCTCTCTTCCAAACAACGGCTCTTGATAATTATTAGACAGATTAACAATAGCAATTTAAGCAGTCTTTTTACTTTTAATTTCTCTCTAAGTTCATGAAATGAATTAAAATATTATTGCATAATAAAATCTTGTCTCTTATGTCCTCTCTTTTTTTAAATTGTGAGGAGTAATAAGGGAAGTATTTCCTTTCTCCTTTCTTAATGCTCTTAAAGAATTATAATTTTTTTTTTGGTTTGTTTTCCTATAAACTTATTGGAGAAAATTGAATTTATTATTAAATGAAACTTATTAGATAATATGAACTTACTGGATTAACTTTTACAAAAGACAATTGAACTAAATATTTCTTTTGTTTATTTTTACTGTGCCGAAGTCTCCAGTGATATTAAATTTTTGTTTCATTTTTTAAAATCAGACTGAAAAAAATATAATAAAATAGTATTTTATGTACCAAATACTTTATTATAGTTAGTATATTCTGCGCATGGAGATCAATTCTTTTTAACCTGCTTCTAGATTTTTTTTATTAGTAAAAACAAAGGCCATAACGGATTTATTTATTTCAATAAACTGCGTTCCGAAAAAAATAACGAACAGAAACAATGTCATTGAGATGCGTTGAGTCTTGATTGACTTGATAACCATGATTGACTGATCTGATTATAGAATGATGGAATTAGATTAATAAATAAATGAAGTATCAAGGAAAGAAAGAAATATTGAACGTCTTTTGATTTTGTTGTCAACATAAAAGTAGGAGTAAACGTTGTTATTTTTAAGAGTCGATTCCTTTTTCTTTTTTTTGTTGTTGAAGTTTTTTCACTTTGACTTCCAAAACAAATTGTCCTTACCCCAATTAGAAAATCTTACAAATCTTCAAATTCATGACTAATATTTATCTCGTGAGCTAGTTTTTAATCTACAGACATGAGCATGGTGACTCTGAGCTATTTCAATACTACCGTTTAAGTGATTTTCAAAGGGAAAATAATTTATACCTGTCTAATAATAATAAAAGTAGAAAGAACATTTGTGAAAATAAATTAATAATAAATTAAAATTTCTTTAAAATTGAAGTAAAAGTGCCAAATGGAATGCTTGGTAATGACTATCCTTAATAGTATATATTTTCATAATCCACGTAAATTAAGAAAAATAGAAGCATACTAGAGAGGGCAAAATAATATTTAGCAAAAACGCTATCGAAAACTAACGATTCTTTAATGAGAAAATCATTAAAACGTGTTTGATTTCTAAATGAAATCGAGAGGAATTGAAAGATGCTTAGAAACATCTTCCAATTTAGTCAGGCAATCAAACTGGTTTTGATATTTTTCTCACCTTTTTCTCCAGTTTTTCGAAAGATATCGGTAGAGTTCTTTTCCCTTTCTTAAATATTATTTGTGCTCTCTAATATGTTTGATTTTTTTAAGTTATCAAAAAATCTATTTTAAGCTGGATCATTATGTCTATGAAATATAAAATATTACTATGCATAAGTTTTCCTTTTTAAATGTTAGATATTTTGGACAATTCTTTGAATATTAGATTTAAATAGATAAGATTTAACATTAAAAGTTCATAAAAAAAAGTATTTACTATAAGATGCGCTTTTTAAAAAAATACTTTAGTATCATAAAGTATTTTTTTTTCAAAGATAGATAATATTTTTTTTCTCTAGAAAATGCACGATACACCCTCGAAATACGCATATTTACGATTTTAAAACAACTAAGCATTTTATTTATGTTTTTAAAAAAAAATTGAAACCTTTGAATTTGAAAATTATTGTATACTGTTTGATGGTCAAAATTTGAGTTTTAATTACTTTTCTAGAAAAATTAAGGAGAAAACTTGAGCGAAGTTTTGAATTTACTGAATGGTAAGCATTAGCAAAACCTAACTTTTAATTTAATACAATGTACATATGTGATGCCATTATAAGCATTACATGTTTTCAAATTTCCTTTATTTCATAAATTTAATCATTCGAAATCCATCTTTAAATTTAAAAAAAATCTGTTTATTTATTTAGATTCAATTTTAAAAAAAAGCGAATGCAAATATTTCTATTTTCAATAACTATAACGGGTAACTTTTTATTTTAATGCATGTGTATAACTTATTATTATTCAATACAACTAACTGATCATCAAAATCTATATTTAACCATTTTTTCTTCAACTACATTAAACATTAGCATATATGTAATTAGGTTGATTTTAATTTCCGCACGAACTTTTTGGCCTTAAAAATCTTCAGCCAAATTATTTAAATATTATTATGAGATATCGTGGGGTTGGCTGAATTGGCTTGATGTTTGGCTATAATTTTAATAATATAATAAATAATAATTTTTAAAGGTTTTTAAAAGGAAAATAACTTTTCATTATTTTTTATTTTAAAATATATTTTATAATTTTTATTACTCTAAAAGTTTAATCTGTTAAATAATATTTTCGAAATTGTTGAAACAAGAGAACGACAAAAACTGATAATAAATCGCAGAATAATGGTTTTTATCTAGTTGTTTTTTATTGCTTTTCAAAAACTCGAATCATCATCCATTCAAGGTAAGATTGATTGGAGTTCTGTTCTGAAGAACAGTAAAGCATATTTCCTTGATAATTTTTCATTTGCACGATATGATTGTGTTGTGATATTTGCACTTACCAGACGAAAGAAGAAAGAAAACAATTGCTGAAGGAATTTCTGGTTTAACAAATTCAGCAAAATGTTTCGGCATGATGTAAGTTATTTTTTTAAAATCATTAATTAATTCTCTTAATTAGAAGTGGACAAAATATTGATCTATCGTGATGTATCGATATTTCCGCGATATTATGATAACGATATATTAAAATAATATTTTCACAATATATCATGAGTACCATAGCTTACAATAAGTATCGGATATACGATAATTATTGGCATCCTCGACAATGAAAATTATAAAATGCGATTATGTCGTGAGTATTATCAATAATAATATGATAATTATCAAATTAAATAATGCAACTATTATTTCCAAAAAGAAAAAAAAATCGTGAGTATTACCGATATTGAAAGATATTACATTCGATGTTATAGGGATTCTTCACAAATTCCATTTCGAAACAAAAATATTGACCAAATGTAAAGAAAATTACCCATATATTAGCTTAATTAATGTAAATTATTTACCATGTAAATTATTTAATGTAAATTATTTATCATTATCTCGATGTGTCGCGAGATATTGATATTATTAAACAATATAACGCGGTTTTAAAGATCTTATATCACCCAGCACTATTAAAATTAAAAACAGGACTATAAATAGTTGTGTTATCTGTGTGATGTTGCATACAGTACCGGCCCGATTATTAAAAAAAAATTTTTTATTCCAATAATTTTTTTTAGTAGAATTTTTCGTCAGATAACACGAAGTCATTATTTTTTAAAAATATTTCAATAACATTTCTCTGCTATTAGCACTTGGTGAGAAATGTTTTCGGGATTAAGACATTGATTTGATGTGGTATTGATTCAATAAGTTTTTATTTATACAGTCCTTATTTTCTGTTTATACAGAACATTAATGCAAGGGGAAATCGTTTATCATTATTTACATTTATTTTCCAGAACATAATTATGCCTGACAAACTTTATTCAGTACATTACCGACATAACTAGAAATATTATCTAATCTAACATTGTACAAACATTAGGTATAAAATTCTGGTTATGTTATAAGATTACAGATATTCTCCAGACCTGTACATCATAATCTTTCGAAAATAATCCAAGAGTTCTAAAAGCCTTATTTTCCCGAAAATGTTGTTGAAAACTTAACATATAAATCAAAATTAGTTCTTTTGAAGCTAAAATAGGGAGGAAATAACTCGTGCTAAATCTTTTAAATTTATCGATTAAAATCTGCTGAGTTAACCGTTTCGGAACGGGCAATCCATGAAAGTGTTAGTACATAATTAGAATCAAAATGAAAAGTAATCAATAAATAAAAAGTGGTAGCTTAATTGTGGGTATTCCTAATTTCACAGATTTATTTTGCTTTCCCTTTAAAAATTTTAAGCTAATCACATATCTAATCTATGTTAGTTCAATGTGTAATTGTATAGTTTTTATTTCGCAGTGAAGTAAATTTTAAGTAGTGGGGAATTAAAACAAGTTATTATAACCCTTTCCACAAATAAAGAATTAGTTTGGTGAGTAGTTTTATTTTAAAACCCTAATTGATAAAGTTTCAATCACATATTTGTGACAGTCGGCTCTAAAGGATTAATCATTGAATAATAAATTGAACCGATTCTTGGTAGTTCTAATAGCCTAGATAAAATTAAAATGAGAGGGTACCATTCTAAAATGTTCCAAAATTCTAGTTTTTTCCTTTTTCAGACAGCAATAAATAATTTACTAAAATTATTTCTAAAAATACAATTTAAATTTTTTTAGGAGTTACAAGGAGCTATTCAGATATTTTAACCCGGAAAGCATATTTTACCCAAAATCACATTTTTAAGCCTTTTTCATATGAGATATCAATAGCTATTCATCCGAATTTTATTTTCTTGTATACATAATATAATTATTTGCTATGTATTGAATAATATTTTACACCTGTGTCAGAAAATTTTAGAATTGATTTATTTATTTCTTTTATTGTATGCTGAAACTGATTACAAATATTCCGTCTGAAACATCTAACAATACATTGTTTTTATTTATTTTATAGATATCTAATATCTGTAAAACTATTATCAAGGTTGGAATTATTTCTTAAGGAACACACTTATTATATTCATTCATTGTTATCCTTTTCAAGTCAAAGCAGATAATATGACTCTAAAAACAATGAATTTCTAACCCTAAATATCGTGTGAGGGAATTGATTTTAATTGATAAAAATGTGATTATCTTTATTCATCCCATCAAAATGTGATTATCTTTATTCATTGATAAAAATGTGATTATATCTTTATCATCATTTTCCATAGATATATAAATATATTCATTGAAAATGTATTTAGTTAAGGGTGCATCTTAAAATTTAAAAGTTCATATCCCGATTTTCCGATTTCAAGAGTTATGGTTTTTGATTAATTTTATGATTAATTTTATGTAGAACCTTAGGGTGTGCTCGAATCAAATTAGATAAAACTGATCTAATTACTTATACTTCTTTAAATTTTTTGCAAAATGAAATTTTTTTAATTTTTATTTTTTATTTTTTACTATACATGCGTTTTTTATCATAAACCTTATTTTGATAAACAAGTTTAAATTTAGTTCAGTAAAAATTAAATAAGAACGATGCAAAAATAAATATCTGTTTTTATTTCATTTACATGCGATATTAAATTTTACAGAATTAAGAACGTTTTTTTTTTTTTTTTTTTTTTTTTTTTTTTTTTTTTTTTTTTTTTTTTTTTNTTTTTTTTTTTTTTTTTTTACCTTGATTTTATTAAGACGCTTTTGAGTCGGTTAGAGTGAGCCGAAATGTTGACCACCAGGTGACTAGCTAGAGCATTCCCATTTCTACTGGAGCTTTTGAGACTGATAACAATACAAGTCAAAGGTGTTTCCTAAATGTTTTAAGCAAAATTTACCGTCACTTTAAATTTGATCCCCTTTTTAACATAACAGGCACAAAATTAAAGATAAGAGAAAAATGAAAAAAATAAAATAAAATTTTTAAAAATTACGCTATTCAAGTAAACTAAGTAGAAAAATAATTTTACTTTTGTCATACATAAAATGATAAAAATAAGTATTACACTGTAAACATTACAGATCTAATTACGGTATAAAGTGACGGCGCTTTGGGAACATTATCATTGATATCCATTTTTACCATAAAATAGTGTTATACTTTAATTTTTACTGTAATATTTATTTAATTAGAGTGATTCAGCAATTTTACCGAAGTTATTGCTGCAAAAATTACAGTACATTAGATATTTTGTTCCGTAACATCTTCCAGTAAAAATAGATATTTTACTGTAAAATGTACCGGCACTCTGAGTGTAGATACTTTTTACGGTTATTTTAACCAGAATTTTTTACAGCGTAGTAGATAGCTTCCATATGTGCGAAGAATGTATTTAGAAGTAAATAAACATTTGTAGTTTTTTATGTATCACATTATATGTTTTCTTTCATTAGTCAGTTTCATTAGTGTAATCAGTGCAATTTTAGCTTTTATTACTGTGACCACCCATTCGCATTACTGTGATCTGCATTGTTGGCTAGAATTTTTAAAAGGGTTACAAATAATTAGTTGCTGTAAAGCTTTCATAATTTCACAAACATGATATAACCTGTACTCTAGATTGTAATTTGTTGCTGGGTTATCCCCAAAACTTCTCCAGATACCAAACTCACTTGATGACTGATACTGAATACTATAAAAGCTTATAATAAATATTTTAGTACCAAAAATGGCGGCAACTACTTTACACTCAATATGGTGTAGTGAAGCACCACCAATAATTCCTTGGTGTTTGGTGGGGTGGAAACACCAGGAATTTTCCATTTCACTACTTTTGGTGTAAGACATTTTACCTCCATTTTTGGCCTTCAGTAACACTAAAATTTATAATAATAAAGAATGAGACACACAATAAGAGTCTACAATAATTTCAAGAAATAGTTCAAAATAAGAACTATTATAGTTATGGATGCATACACACACTAACTTTTTAAATAAAATTAGTTTTTAAATGAGACATATACGTAGCACAGAGAGAATATTAAGACTAACTTGAATTGGGTTTAACAGAAAAGCGAATAGAAATTAATTATAAAATTATTTAATTCAATTGACAGATATTTAAAAAAATTAAGTATAATTATCCTTATAACACAACTAAAAACACACATACCGTTTATTGTGACAAACTTTTGCTTCTATAGATAAATATCAGAGTGAAAAACAACAACAAACTCAAGCCGTTTCGTATTCGATTGTAAACAGTTTGTTGATGATTTTAAAAATATGTCAAAATTGGTGTTTTTGGAAGTGAAAAATTTCACGAATGAAAGTCCGTAAGTTTGATGTTAGCATTCCCAATTAGTGCTTAGAATTAACTACACTCTTTAGAGTGAATATAAACGTTAAATTCTATATTAACTTGAGATAAAGTTCCTCTTCAAATGTCTTAGATAGTTCAGCACCAAATTCGGGGAGCTATTAGAACACTGTTTTTACATTACAATAGTTACGACGATTTATTACTTCGCATAGGAGTGTGTGGTTTTCCATTTCACTTTTGGTTAAGAGTAGGAAAATCAGGTCTTTTCTTCAATCTTCCCCCATTGAAAACGACTTTACTCTTGTTTCTATAATAACAAGCAGCCTGTCGGGAGAAGTTCTTGTGATTGCTGGGCACTTCATAATTTTTTTTTAATGTAAAGCTAATAATGTAAACGTAAAAATAAACTTGTTTAAAAAAAGGCTTGTTACACATTTCTGAAAATCTTCTGTGGAGTAACAAATAAGCAATTTCCCGTCCATATAACATCTCAAATTTTTTTTTTTTATTTGCTTTAGAAAATTTTTCGAATGTTAAACGTAATAACAATATAATCTTTGCAGCATTTTATATGAACAGAGTGCGAAAAGAATTTAAAATTGACTTCAAATGCGTGAAGTTCCTAAGACATGTATAGTTAATATTTCGTCATTTTACTGATAATATACCGTATCTGGTATAATCTTCGTAGCAAGCTATATATACCGAAAACTGTAAATGCCCGTTGCCTGTATTTGTATTAAGGAAAGGGAGGTGCAGGTTTAGCTAACCATTCTATATGTTTTTTTCAAAAAAAAAAAATATATATATATATATACGATCAAAATGAAGATTAAAACAAAGAAAAATAATAGACAAATGAAGAAAAAAAGAGTGGGGGGGGGAAATAATAAGTAAAAAAATAACAAACAATAGTTTTAAAAAAAAGGAAAATTTATTTAAAAAACCGGAAAAAAAAGAAACCGGAAAAAAATATAACCTTTTCTTCAGCACACACGATTATATCCGCAAAACAGAGTGCTTTCTGATATTGTATCAATAAAGCCAAAGCAAAATATATTAATACAATAGTGTGAGGAGCACTCAAAAA